TATATTTTTTTATTGTTCATTTTTTTAATTGAAAAAAAACTTTAATTTCTATTTGTGTTTTATTTATATTTGGTGGAAATAATGACATTATGGGAGGAATGGTTGATATTAGCCGCTTTCCAGCTGTGTGCTTCAAGCACGGTGCAGCACAGTGTTCTGTGTTTGAAACGCAAAAGTTAGCAGCTCTCGAACCGCAGTATGGCTGGAACACGAACACGCGCTTGAAGCATTTGCGCACACAAAAGCTCGATTGTGTGCTCAAAAGCGTCAGCTGGAAAGCGGCTATTATTGTTGACATAAAGACATAACTACACCAAAGCCACACTAAAAAATTGTGGTGTGGCCATTACGACACCTGGAGCGCGCCCGAAGTACTTTCTGAACGGATCATAGAACGCGCACTCGGTGTGCCTATACCAATTATGAACAGCTAATGCGTTGCACTGATGTCAAACTCACACTAAGGGCGGGTATCATAAAACTGCTTCGATAGTTAACTTGTAGTTAACTTTTTGAATTACGTGTAATTTCACAAGTTAACTTTAAGTTAACTCTCAAAGTAGTTTTATAATACCCGCCCTAAGTATGTCATTCCTGAACTCGTCGTAGTTGTATTCCTTTCACACCTAGGAGGAGCTCCGGAACAACTCCGGGACGTTACACGCTTATTCCTTTCGGAAAGTGTTTGTTGCACCACGCACGCATCTGTTCCCAGTTCAGAAATAACGCACAGGGTGCGAGTGCGATTTTATGGGTGTGCCTGAATTGACAATTGGCCATTGGGCCCATAGCACCGTTTAGCATTTTTGAACAGCTAGGGCGTCGCACCGGTGTCACACTCACACTGGGTGTGTCATTCCTGAACTCGCCCCTTGTGTGCACTCGGTGTGACGCTCAGGGTGATTTCGAGCGCACTCTAGAGATGTCGTAGCTGGGTTCGGTAATTGCATCTGCGAGTAAAAAAAGCAGATTTTGACGGTCGTCACGTGATGATTTATCTTGCTCCACTTGTCAAATCACGTGACATCTGTCAAATTTTGCTCATTTTGCTCGCAGATGCAATTACCGAATCCAGCCCTTATCCAGCGCATACACAAACCCTGCCTTCAGTATTTTGATCTGAGTTCTCCGAGCTTGAATTTAACGTTCGTTTATTCAAAAAGTGTACTCGGTGCAGGCTCGTCCGCGTTCTCTTTTTTTTTTCAATTAAAATCTCTGGCACTCTGATACATCGTTCAACTGCTCTGTTCGTTCGCTGATCACGTTATTACGGCTCCACTCAGTACGCTCCGCTCTTAGAGCAAAATACCGAACGCAAGGAAATTAACAGATGTGGCATTCAGAATATAAAATTTAGGGTGGGTATTATAAAACTACTTTGAGAGTTAACTTAAAGGTAACTTCTGGAATTACATATATAATCAAAGCCCCCTACAGTAAGCCATGAAGTAAGAAATCTGGCAACATGTCATGTGGGTCCTATGTTTTCGATTCAGGTTAGGTTTTGAATGTGTTTATTATATTTATTTTATTTATTTGTTATTATTATAGCGCATATGATTCATCTGTAATAGTTCAAAAGATCAATAATTGTGCCCTGTGCACTTTTTTATCAAAATTTTAACCGCTACCTTAATCATCTTTTGGTTTGTTTACTCAAATTGTTCCCACAGGACGCCGACGAACACTTTGTTTTTGTCTTTAGTAAAGGTAAGAAATTCATCATTTTTATATCAAAATATTACATTATGCAATTTTTTTATTTATTATAGATGCCCGATTATGCTGTGTTCGAGGTTACAAGTGAATTTTGCAAATTATGGTTACCAGCCATTCATAAAGAAAACTTCCAAATTACAAAGAGTTCAGTTGTGTGCTGTGAATATTTTGATACTACAGAAATGCAAAGGGTGGCATTACAAAAACAAGGAAGGAATTTGGTGTGAGCACCCTCTGATGCAACCTAAACTAATGAAGGGGGCAATTCCCAATTCCTCATATTATATTTGAAAATCAACCAGAATACCTATCTATCAAGACATTCAGTGACTAAACGAAAAGATCCCCAGAAGACAGAAGACAGGAACTACAGGAAATTTTGAAACAGGAAAATTGCAGAACTATTCAATTCAATTACCAATTTTGAAAATCTAGGCAAGGAAAATATTGAGTCCAAACTCCAAAATGTCTCTTAAATGAGTAGTTATAAGTATGTGTTGGTGTTTTATTTATCCAGTTCATTCTTTTTCCCAAACAAATCTCGAAACAAATACAATAATATCATATTTTTGAAAAAATATAGAATCAAATCATTCATCTAACCTAAAAAATCTGCTTTCAAAGGCAGACCAGCAGAGCCACTATGCGGTGTTGCCATTTTTACTTCATGGCTTATTACTGTAGGGGGCTTTGATATAATTCAAAAAGTTAACTTCAAGTTAACTGTCAAAGCAGTTTTATAATACCCGCCCTTAGTAGTATAGGGATTAACAAATCACTGGAAGTTAAAATTAAAAATTCATTACATAATGACTAATCAAAATTTTAATTGAAGATTGAGTTTTTCGAATTAAGATTCAATAAATTGAATTAAATGGGGACAGTTCAAAAACTACAGAATTGAATTCTATACCAATTTCAAATTCTTCGATTTCATCTGGATTTGAAACGCAAGATATTTTTTAATTATCATAATTCGATATTTTTAATTTGGTTCTTCGAATTTATGTAAAATTTGAATACGGAAATGATACCTATATTCGAAAGTGACCACTTTTCTCATACATAATAATATTTGATTTATGTAGTTATCTTTTTGAGAAAAAAAATTGATTCCCAAATTTCCAGTTTCAATGTAACGTGCCTAAATTAATGTAAAATTACCTTATCAAAATTAATCCAAAATTCGTTCCTCTTGAAAATTCTACAGATACCTATTAATATTTGAAAGGCATTTTTAAGTAACATCATTCTCATTGATACCTATATAGGTATATTTATTGATGTTAGATTTTGATGAATATATTGGTAAACAAATTGACAAAATTATATTTTACAATTAACCATTAGCGTTTTCGAGTATATCGGCTTTTTATTTAGATGAGTAATAAAAGGGGACTACAGAAAATCGTTTATTATTGAGACATAAAAAAATGCAATAACAAAAGTCGAAAAATACATGAATTGCAAAAAAAAATTCCTACCCAAATGAATTTTTCAGGAATGATAGGGGACAGATGGGTGATCATAAAACCGAAGATATCAAACATTCACCCTTCTGCCGTTTTGCGCTATAGGGGGTTGAAAGTGCGCCATTGGCAATTTATTCGTACCTGATTTTACGAAAAAGTGTTTCAGCTAAAAGATGTGCAACATTATTTGATCTACAATGTTTATCTAAAGACTTTTTCTATTAAGGGCCGTCTGTGGTCGTAAGGCCCTTTGAAGTTTTATAATGAAAATAAAAATTTTTACTCAACTTGAAATTTTTTTCTACAACACATACAACGTTTTTGCTTTATGAAGTTTTTCCTCACCCCCTGCCGTTTTTCAATAAGGGTAGTTTAAAAATTTTATATTTTTTTACAAAAAAAATTTCTTGATAAAAGTTTCATAATATTTCCTACAATTTTTTCTTATACCTAAACTTTTTTTGTGGCTCACCCCCATTCAGCGGGGGAATACTTCCCTTAGGGAAATTTTAGTTTTTAGGGGTATACAGGGTGTATATTTTAAGTGATACCACTATTACTATATTCGAAACGGTAAGAGCTACAAGGTCGGTTAAATTAGAGAAAAGTTGCCTTTTTTGATGCCCATTCAAAACGTTTTTACAGTGTTGTCAAATTCCTTTTAGTTTATGAAATACAGGGTGATTTCTAAAAAACGCCAAAAACTATTTCATCAACTATTTCGAAAACTATTGATATTCGAGACACAATTTAAATTTGAAAGTTTTATAATTTTTTTCGCATATAAAAAGTTGCAATTATTATTATTTAGAAAGTTTTTTTTTCCACCACCTTATTATTTTTAGGGGTAGTTCACCTATTTTCAACTTTACAAAAGAAATTTATTAAGAAAACTTGTTCATTTTATTATTTTGAACAACTTTTCTTTATATTTTTTTTAATGAAATTGAAAGTAGGCAAACTACCCCCAAAAACAAAAAGGTGGTGAAAAAAAAATCCTTCTATTACAATGTTAATTGCAACTTTTTATATGCACTAAAGACGAGAAAAGAAAAAAATAAAATAAATAAAATATACCCCTAAAAACTAAAATTTCTTTAAGGGAAGTGTCCCCACGCTAAATAAGGGTGAGTTACAAAAAAAGTTTATAGGGAAAAATTGTAGGAAATTTAATCTTATATAACTTTTATTGAGAATTTTTTTTTGAAAAAAAAAAAAAAAATGTAAACTACCCCTATTGAAAAACGGCAGGAGGTGAGTAAAAACTTCATGAAGCAAAAACGTTGTATGTGTTGTAGAAATTTTTTTCACGTTGGTTAAATTTTTTTATTCTCATTATAAAATTTCAAACGGTCCTCACGACCACAGACGGCCCTTAATCGAAAAAGTCTTTAGATAAACATTGTAGATCAAATAATGTTACACATCTTTTATTTGAAACATTTTTTTTTGTAAAATCAATAGGTACCAAGAAATCGCCAATGGCACACTTTCAACCCCTATAGCGTAAAACGCCAGAGGGGTGAATGTTTGATATCTTCAGTTTTATGAACACCCATCTGCTCCCTATCATCCCTGAAAAATTCATTTGTATAGGAATTTTTTTTTTTGTTGAAAATCGACAATTTTCCTAGACTATTGGTATTAAACTCAATCTGTATCACAGGAAATCATAAAGGAAAAAAATACATTAGAAATCATAAAGAGAAAAAAATTAAAGTATTATGCCATGTGGCCCAAAATCACCATCAGTGAGCTGCCAAGTAAACAAAAAAAAACGTATTCTGATTTACTGAACTGCTCAGATTATCATTCGGAATCCCAGTTTAAATCTGAAATTATTATTCGAAATCCCCAGTTTAAATCCTAAAAAAAGCTTATTCTGATTTGCTGGACTGCTGAAATTATTATTCAGAATCCCAGGTTACATCCCAAAAAAAAAAGTATTGATTAATAAAAATGCACATTGAAAACGTGATCTAAAATTGACACTAAGCCTCGGGTGCAACAAATTTAAAAAGACTACAGATTCTGCATGATACATAATTCTTCGATTCTACTCACCTCATCCAAATCAACGCGGCTAAAATTTATTCCGCTATCATCCAAATTTTTTTGAATTCGACTTCGTTTTGCTTTATTTTTTTCATCATCATCTAGATTTCTAGTTTCTGGAGGAATTATTCCCCGTCTTAAATTATCAGTTGATAGAACCAGTTCGTCAATAATTTCTATTTTGCTCATGTTTTCCAATTGCAAAAAAATTCCATCATCTGAATTAGAAACTAAATTAGAATTTAGAAAAAAAAACCGCACTACTCACTTTTGTCTTTTTTAATTTCTCCCACACATTCGACGTGTACCCCGGATTTCAAAGTTGGATCGTCCTTAAAGTCAACGATGTGTACTCTAAGCCTATATACATCGTCAACAATGGCCCCATTGCCATATGAAGAGTGTCCCATGGGCACCAACGTGAACTCCACTCTTATATATCCCTGTAATCCTAAAAATATTTTTTTTTTTATATAAAACTGACTCAGTTTCGCATACTCACTTATTATTTTTCCAATTTCCTTGGCACAGTTTTTAATGCACGTGTTTATTGTGCTTTGAGGCTCAATCGTACCTAATTCTTCATAACGCCCCAGTATCTTAATTGTGGTATTACGCCAACAACAAACTTCAATGGGGACTACATTTTCTTCTTTTTTGAAGAACGTCATATTTACATTCTGAATTAGGCCCCTCTCGATAAACAATATCTGTATTAAAACATTTAATCAGTATTAGTTGCTATAAAATACAATCATCATGCTCATGAAAATAAAACCTGTTCTTACCATTAAAGGGGAATATCGTTTAGAGAATTATAAAAATTAAAAATAAACTATTGTAAAATGAAAAAATTCAATTCCCTAGTCATTGATTAATTATTTCTATATCAGTGTAAATCAATATACCAACAATTTTATGTGTTACTTTTTTACAGGGTGTTTCGAAATCAATGCACCAAATTTTTATGGCATATTTTACGTTGAAAATCAGCCCTATTTTCCTATATAAACATAAATCTGGAAACGCGCTTCCTTTCCGAGATACAGGGTGTTAAAATTCTAAGGAAAAAAACTATTTTTCTATCAATTTTCAAACCAGTTTAGACATTTTATTGAAATTTTGTACACTGCTCTCAAGCAGCAAAAGACATTTTTTGATGTGAAATATTTAAAATAAAAAATTACCAGTGATGTAGACAACAGAAATAATTTGAAACTTTAGGTGTTTAATGTTTTACATTTTAATCATAATCTTCGCCATTTCGCCATGAATAAAAATGGTGTTTTATTTTTTTACTTGAAAACGGTGCATCTTTCGGAAAAAAATTAAGAAATCAAATTTGTTCCAAATTGAATGGGGATTTCAAAAATGATTTTTATTTTAGGAACAAGCAGTGACACACAAAAATATTCCATACAAATCTCGTACACACGTCACTGGTAATTTAAAACAGAAATAATTTCATATCAAAAAATGTCTTCTGATGCTTGTGTACAAAATTTCAATGAAATATCTAAAGTAGTTTGAAAGTTATGATAGAAAAATAGTTTTTTTCCAAGAATTTCAATACCCTGTACCTCGGAAAGGAAACGTTTCCGAACATATGTTTATATAGGAAACTAACGTCTATTTTCGAGGTAGAATAGATATGCCATAAAAATTTGGTGCATTAATTTCGAAACACCCTGTATAGGTATTATTATATTTAACTAAAACTCAACTTACCTGCTTGTTAACAATCGTTTGTTCATATTTCTTGGCCATGTCTTCCCACATGAGGATACGAATCCTCCTCCCTTGTCCATTGTTAAGAATGAATTTGAAAAGCGTTTTCGTGTTATTCTTAACTTGCTTGCTACCATCGATTCCATCTACATAACCAATCAATTCTCTGCAAAAAGAATTGAACAATTTGATAAACCACCTCAAAACAGATTATTAACACTTACATGGTATTGTCCCCAATAACGAACGAATCTATTTCAGCATTGCTCGTAAACTCCATATTTTTTTCTTTTCCGATTTGCTGCAAAATAGAATAATTTGTCAAGATGCGCGCATGGTGCTCAATTTTAACTTACTATACGCAGAATTACCTAACTGCGTAATTTATTATTACATATATGTATTGCGCAATTTCTTGCTAGTTAATTAAAAATCCATTCAAATATAAAAGCAAAAACAAATTATTTTACACACCTTGAAATAAATGGAATAATGTAGGTATTTGGGTAAATAAAAAAAATAACTCACCTTTGAAGAACTACACTTTGGCCGAGACTTTGGCATAGAACACCTCTCTAAACTGAAACTATATCGTATCAAATACCCACAAACGCACAAACTAATAACTAATAATAACAAACCAGTCAAACCACTGCCACAAACCACTCAAACCAGTTAAACCATGTTTCCGACACTATAGGCCGATTCTAAAATTAAAAATTTGTGCTTTTGCAGGAGGCCTTTTAAAGTACCTAGTTTTGCGCCGCGCCAGAAATACAGGGTGCCAATTTGAAAACTTCCCACCTGTATTATGTCGGAGTAGAAAGATTTTCAAAAAAATCCCTGGAACAGTGAAACACGTCAACTATAATTTGAAGGGGGATGAGTTTTTATGCAAAATTCACCTTCCCTTTTTCAATCCCCCAGCCCCCAGAGCCACCCCTTAGAAAATTTTAAATGGGAAGGGGGAGTCAAGTAATGCATCATTTTGGAGGGTTTTCAATTCCATACATTTTGGTAGATACAACATAAGTTCAACTGTTTTGGAAATATTGAGAGTTGAAAATTGACTTTTTTGTAACTTTGACAAGCCATAAAACCTAAACAGTTAATTTGAGAGGAAAATTCCGGTTGAATATTTAATCTTTGGTTAAATTTAAAAATGGTGTCAAATGATAGTTTATGAAAATCCAAGACAAGAATGTAAGATCGGTTTTCCTCTAAAATTAACCATTTAGGTTTTACAGCCTGTCAAATTAGCAAAAAGATCAATTTTCAACTGTCGATTTTTCCAAAATAGTTGAACTTAGGGACTAACATTTAGTTCCAAAATGTATGGAATTAAAAACCCTGCAAAATGATGAACCACTTGATCCCCCTCCCCATTTCAAATTTTTCCAGGTAGTGGCTCAAGAGGGCTGGGGGGGTTGAAAAAGGGAAGATGAATTTTGCATAAAACCTCATCCTTCTTCAAATTATAGTCGACGTGTTTCAAGGATTTTTTCGAAAATTTTTCGGAAGTTTTCAAATTGACACCCTGTATTTTCATACCAGGAAATTTCAAAAAATATACCTTTAATACGCTCGGTCAAATAAAGATCTATTGTAATTTTACTTACAAGTTTATTAATTATTTGTATATCAAGGCTGTCAAATGCCGTTTTAGCGTACGTAGAGAAAAATTATCGCCGAGGCAAGATAATCTCGAGGACGCTAAAAAGTTTCGAGGTCATGGTATACACACTATTTTTTGTGCAACTATAAAAACTATGTAAAGGGACAGAAAAATTGTATGAATTTGACAAGAATTTGACACATTTTGCACGTCAGGTGTGACGGCCGCGAAAATGAATTTTGCGGCCTGTGTAGCGGCCGCGAAAGCTCATTTCACGGACGGTTGCACAAAAATGTTATTCAAACAGACATAAATAATTATCAAGTTTTGACCTAGGAGTCAAATTTAAAAAAAATATATTTTTAATACCTGCGTTAATTATTGGAGCAATTACACACCGCACAAAAATTATCGCATCACCAATGCTTTCATATATTTTGGCTACAGTAAATTTATTTTAATTTTTTTTTATGTAGGTATTCCCTGAATGGGCATCTCGATGGGCATTCTTCAACTGAAAAACTCGAGTCAAAAAACAAGTCGTTTCTTCTTTTGTTAGATTCGTTAGAAACGTCACGTTTATACATGTTTGACAAAGTTTTCCTGACTTCTGGTTTTATCGGAAATTACCGAAACTTTTGAGTTTCAAATGGCACACCCTGTATATTTTTTGTTTTTTGGATTTTACAGATTTTTTTACGTCCTAATCTACCACTTTTAAATCGAGTTTTGGCCAAATTTCGCTTTCAAATCTAATTTCAAGTTAAAAAAAAAAATACCTACAAAAATATTTGAACGAAAATTGAGAAAAATGTCGTAGTGTATTATATCGTTGGATTCGCTTCAAAATACTGCATTTAGTAATATTATGAAAGTGATATGTTTCTATTCTAGTTTTTGAGCTAGGGCAAAAATACTGAAATAATGTTAATAACAGCCCTCTATCAAAGAAGTTTACAAAGATAAAATTGAGTTTCTATTTTTCTAAAATTAAGTAAAGTCATTTTGGAATGATCATGGCAGTCTGGTTAAAAAATTAAAATTTAATTAAAAAACAAAATTTGGACAAAAATCAATTCAAAAGTGGTGCATTAGGATGTTAAACGATTTGCAGAATTCGAAAAACAAAAAATATACAGGGTTTTTCATTTAAAAATCAAAAGTTGCGGTCATTTCCGGTGAAACCGGAAGTCAGGAAATTTTGTCATAAATTCATAAAAATAGCGTTTGGTTAAAATATCAACCCTACCAAGTAGTGGAGTAAAATCACAATGAAATTATGACTTTGAGTGATTCCGAGGTATAACCAGATGAAACCTATATCATCTTGTAGAGGACACTCTGGGGCATAGGAAATGGGAATGTACAACTTTTTTAGTAGGACTGAACTTTGAAATCGGTCCCTAAACGTGACTGAGCTCGAATTTGAAAAACTACGTTTTTCTAAACATTACCCGCTGTATTTATTTAAGCATACAATCTAAAATTCTGATTTTTTGCACACTTATACTTGAAACATGAGCGCTTCTAATGACAGTTCAGGAATTTCGAAAAGGTTTAAGGTTTTTTTGTTAAAAAGTTAGGAATATAGAATTATCATGCATCTAAAACTTCACCGTGCGGCGAGCTATGTGAATTATTGAAAATTTCTATACATATATATCGAATCAAATGTAGTAAAAATATTGATGAAGTTTTTGAAAAAAAAATTAAGTCGCTAACTTTAACGGTTATAGAAATAGGAATTTTTATCCGGGAGCTTTGAAATGCGCTCTGATGCTAATAGCGGCTAGCGGCTACCATTCTGGAAATCATCTGCGTTAGTGCGTTAGCGTTACATCTAGAAATAAAATAAAAAAATCTATAAACATAAAGTAATTGATTGAATCCTTTTTTATCAAGTTATAGTTTAACTATTTTCTCCTTCGTCATCCTCATATAAATCAGGAACATTATTTTGACAACTTTTGCAGGAACAATCGCTGCAGCATGTTAAACCCTCTTTCAAGCAGACACATTTATTATTTTGACATAATTTATCTTCGCAGAAGACATTCATTAGTTGCCTTATATCCATTGGTATGGGATCAGCAGTCATCAAAACAGGCTCAAAAATTCCATTATTCCTAGTCCAACCAAAGTTAACAGGGTTAAGTATAGGCATATTAGGTATATGACTGGATATCCATATACGCAGTTGATATATGCACTTGAAATTTTGTTTATCGCATAAATACAGCTCCTTTTGTTATATATACACCTAGCTCAGTACATGCTGGTAAAATGCATCATCTGTGGGTAGAAGTTCAGAAGCGGATTTATTGGAAGTTGTGGTCAATTGATATCTCAATTTATCGAGGGTTTTTAGGGCCTCGTTCTTATTTCTGAATAGGGCCAATGCAAATTTGGTGGCAATATAAGGTTCCAAGATTTTTATAAAATACATTTTTTGCCTTTGCATTTGTGGTATCGCATCCTGTTGACACATGCAACGCTGGTAAACATTTATAAACTTCATTTTCCAGTTTCTGCACTATTTATTGGAATGATCCGTTTTTTATTCCCTTGTCCCAATTTCATAAAAAGGTAGGTTTCTTTCAAAGAACTTACTTCAATAAATTCAGAATAGTGGTAAATAAGTAATACCAGAACATTTGCATCTGCAGACTTCACCAACACTTTTTTTTTGTGAAGTATCTGATATTCATATAAGACGTGGATTATAAATCGTGCATCAGTCTCATCATGAATCGATTTCAAATCTTTCAATTCGGTTACACGGTTACACCAGTCTTGTTGACAGAAAAGCATAACTCTGGGTTTTCAAAACCACCAGTGATGATCAGAGTTTCTTCTATTTGTCAGCTAAATGTTCCAAAATATAACCTGTTACAAATTTCAATAGGGATTCTTCATTTTCTGACAATTTTAAAAAATTCCGAAACTTCATCACTTTTCTCTTTCTAGAAACTTCATACGCATACGTATCTGCGAAGTTAGGTACTTCTTCTGCGTCTTTCCAAAGACTTGACCTATAAAAACCACCGTTATCCTTATAGTGCTTCATAGTTCATACCTTCGACCAAGTGAAAGAATTTGCTTCAGAAAAATACATGCGAGTTCATTAAAAGTTAAGTTGAAAATGCTTTATCATTTAGTCCTTGAATAAGTACCATGCTATCTATTATAAGTGAATTATAACAAAAATGAACTTTTAGTGCGAAAAAATCTAAGAACAAATATTTGAACCGCATCTTGCTACGATGAACCGTTTTCGAGTATAAGGGTGGTTCAAAGTGATAAACGCCTAGGCTGTGACGTCACACTGGCTTCGGAGGCACACTTAAAATAAGTGTAAAATTTTCCAAGACAAAAGTCAACGATCTCACCTAAAGCAAATTGCAACCACTTAAAGTTCAACCACTGAATAAACAGAAGGATATGATTTCGGCGGTTAGCCGGTGTGACGTCACAAGTTCCCGCAAAATTTATTTTCATGAAGAATTTTCTCGGATAGTATGTTGAATGAAAGACTGCAGTTTTCACGGGAGATCTTAGATTTTTTTTTTTTGAATAAAGTAGCTTAAGTTGCTTTTTTTTAGTCACACCCTTGTTTAACATCAGTTCGAAGAGAAGCGACTGTTGAATATGGTTCAAACTTTGAT